TGTACATAATAATACATTATCAAGAACGGGCGCATCTTATTCGTAATCCATAAGCAACGCTCGTAAGAAGACCAAAGCGAGAGAGAGAGAGAGAGAGAGTGAGAGTGATAATGAGAGTGCACCACAGTGATAATGAGAGAGCGGCTTTTGCAGCCGGTTATGAAATTGTTTAGTATAGTTCTGTCGATTTTTCCCCGCAAGCATCTTCTCACAGATTTTCTCAGCGATCATTGTTCAATTTTGAATAAAATCTTTCTATTTCTCTCTCGCGAAATATATTCGAGATTTATTCTATTAATTAATATCGATATTTCAATTTTTTGAAATACTAATATTTCAATTATATCATTTTTTCAGTTCTTCCCATGTGCATTCTTTTTGAGACGATAATTAATTTCTCTCTCAAGTGGAATCTAATTTGTATTCAAAGTTTGATTGTCAGAGATATACGATGCTGAAAATCGATTCTAATTTAGTTTCGCAAGTAACGTAAGAAAATTTCGGTGCGTTATTACCTTTCCCAGTCACGAAAGGCTGTGTTGGTGAAAGGCTAACATAAGTAATTTCAAAACACTTGGTTCGCGCGCGATCGCATCTAGCACGACCCTTTTCCTCGAACCCCCGGGGGCGGCAAGAATTCGGGTTTTGTAATCACAGCTCCGAGAGGCAGTATCCTTGAGAGGCTGCAGCCGCCTCGTCGTCGTCGTCGTCGTCGTCGTCGTCGTCGTCGTCGGCCTCATCCTCATCGTCGTCGAGAGACTGCATCGCGTCGGGAGACTTAATGTTATAGGCATAAGTCAGCTCGATTATCGAATCCCATAATCCCATTACGTAATCGCGGGCGGTTGCGCCAGCAGCAGCAACAGCTGCCGGCTTTGTCGACGCGTATCCGATCGATTAGAATCCGCGAAACAGACCGTCCTCGTCGGATCGGGTCAGGTCGGATCGCGGTCGCGGTCGCGGTCAGAATGGAATGAAATTTTAGCTTTGCTTTTGTTTCACGAGCAAGTGAAAATACAGGGAGTGTCTCTCGGGGAAAATACTGGAAAATCGATGGAACGAAAATAAAATCCTGTGAACAATGTTCTTCTCTCGTTTTTCACAGCTTTTTTCTCTTGAAAAAAGAATGACAGTTGCGTATCTTGGATTGCAAAAATATTCATATCGGTTGATATTTTTTTAGAAAGAATGATGCGGAATTTTAATTGACAGGATTATATATATATATAATATATATATATAGTCTTTCTATTATTCCGGATTCTATATTATTTCTGGATATATATTTCTGCTGTAACACTTTTATTCGTAGCTGGTATCATCGAGAAACTATTTCCTTGGTCCGCAAAATAATTCGGAATTCAATCGTTCGGAATTTCAAAACAGCAATTTTATAAACGTCTGATCGCGGAGGAAGCGTGCGAATTTGCACGTACGCACCTCACGCGGTGATAAAAAGATCGGCACGTGAGAGATCGATATGGGCGGCCACATTCGATCAGTCCATCATCAGACCTTGATCTGTCGTCGACCGGCTTGTCCACGTGCAACTTCTTGTTCTTTCTCTTTCGTCTCATTCTCGAGAAGCACGCTATATTCCATTAGCGAACTTATATTGATATCCTGACTAGCTGTAATGATATAATGTGCTCTGATAAATGTGCTCTGATGAGTCGAGTTGGATTAAATTAGCAAAAAATAATTGTTTGCGAATATGTTATGGAAATCGATAGATAATTAAAGTCACTAAATCATTAGATTAGATGGCATCTCGAGTATGACGTGAGCGACTTGTGATAGTCATATATATGTTGATTTAGAAGAATCTAGATGAAAAAGAGGATAGGAGGACGAATAAATAGTTCTTTATTTCATAAGATATCCATTTCAAGAGAAAAAGTAAAAGTTTAGAATAGAGAATATAAAAAAGCAGCGCGTAGAATTATTTTTATTACATGCCCTACGATAAATCATCCTCTTAAAACGAGGAAGAATGAAATGACATCGATATCGAAAAAAATACTTTATCGATACAATTGCAAAATATAATATAGAAATGATAAGGAATGCAGATTGTGGATTAGCGTTTGTCAACTATCGAGAATAGATGAGAGAGAGAAAGAAATAACGAAATACTTTTCGTACATCTTTCGACATCTCTACAAGTGTCAATTTCCATAAGTTCTTTTTGCGAAATTAGAAACTGTACGAGTGTACTTTAAACTCGTCTGCTTCGAGACCTGTTCAAGTATCCTTGGGGAACGCAAATATTACTAATCGACGGACGGAGTGGAGGAGGGTAGTGAGTAAAAAAAAAAAAAAGAAAAAAAAAGAAAAATTAAATAAACGAGGACATGATTTGCCAACCGGTTTCTCGCGATCGCGAATCGGGAACGATCCTTCTCGATCTAAGGATACGAGATGAGGGGAAGTAGAGGGTCCTCTCGCGGAGAAGCTGGATTTGGCACGACGCGAAAATCCGGCGCGCGTTCGTGATCTCGAGAGAATTCTCTCGAGAGGCGAACGAAAGTGAAAGCTACCGGCGACGATCGGCTCGCGGGTCTCGAATTGAACTCGACTCGCGGTGAGACCATCGGCAACCTAGACTCCGATTCATTCTTGGCTGTCAATCGTACTTAGAAGGGGACGATTCATCTCGTTCGAGGACAACAATGTAATTGTTTCCGGCGTTTTTGCCATCGTTATTCTTTTTCTGTCTCTTTCTCGTGAAAATTGGAGAAGATAAGCGTAGTAGGAGCGAAGAGTGACGCGACCTGGAAACCTCCTTGGATATCTCTCGGAACGGGATCATGACGACGACGACGAAGACGAATACGACGACGACGACGACGACGGAGGAGGAGAGAGGAGCGTGAGAGGAAGAAAAAAAAAGTCGAAAGCGCGTTTCTTACGCAATAATTTTTAGTAACCAGCCGTGAAATAACAGCGCCGCGTAACTTTGTCACTATCTTGCCTCTCGAACTCTCTCGAGCCCGGGATGTTCGAGCAATAAGGACGAGATGCTCGGCGTCCTAAATGCCATGAAAAATGTCCGCGTCTTGGCTGTCACTTACATAGGTGCGCCTATCGATTAAAGGCCGGCCGCTTCTCGTTTTACCTCGTCCTTTTCCTTTTTTTTCCTTCAAAAAGATAGATAGACGTTTTAACAATTTTAACGTTTTAAGCGAATATTTACAGAAATAAATAAATGTCAATAAACGACATAGCCTCGTCTACAATATTAATCAATAGAGATATATTGTAGTTTAAGATTTTTTTTAAATCAACGGGGTTATACACGATTATCTTTGAACAGGATCCGCAAAACTCTATTAAAGTTCTCATTCACGTTAATAAGGCATTCCTCGTCGCAACCGAGTGTGACAAAGCTCGCGTAAAAATTATTAATATCAATTAAGCAATCGGCGGGGGAGAAAAGATTGTAAGATTATCCTTGTACGCGATCGGCGATGATACGTTCTTCGGTAAACTGAAAGGAGGAGCACCGGCATCGTGCAGGTGGATGGTTGAATTATACGGAGCGTTGCAAAACACGAGGCGTTTGCGCAATTAAGCGGCGAACGCGCGTCTCGGAGCGCCTCTCGACTCTTTCTCTCTTTTTCTCTCTCTTCTCGAAGGTAAGCGTGCCGAGAGGGAGAGAGAGAGGGAGAAAAGAAACACGCCGTAACAAAAATTCGTAGTCTCAATAGTAATACCGGTCTCGCGCGCGCGCGCTCGCGCGCGCACACGCGCGCGCGCGCGCGCACACACACACACACACACACACACACACACACACACACACACACACAGACACATACACGCGCACGCGTTACACATGCCTCATATATATCGCGCGATTGCGCCATGTTACATGCCGTTACAGCTGGGTCGAATTGTGTTACCGCGTGCGTAATCGGTGCGTGAAGCGATCGAATTAATAATCCGTGTGTAATAATGACGTATTCCAATTAGCCGCTTCATTGATCTTCTTTTCTCGTAGAGCGATAACCATTAATAAAAAAAATGTAAGAAAAAAAATTAAGGAATATATACACACATACAATATATAGTTCTTTAACAAAGTATTCTTGCCAAAGTTTGCGTCATCAACAAAAAATGTTCATAACTCCGACAAAAAGCATTTCGGAACTCATGTTTGTATGATTTTTTTTTTATCCTTACATTGAGTAAAATCCTCGAGTTTGACCATCTCTTTCTGAAACATCCTGTATATATTCATTTACTTATATTTTATTAATGATTGTCGCTTTATGATTATATATATATACATAAATATAATATTATTTTTATAAGAATATGATTGAAGAACGAGAAACTCTGATGCATTTCTCGTATGACGATTGTATATTTACAGCGATAATTTGAAAACATCACGCCTTATCATTACGTTAATCTTGACATTTAAATGTTTATTAATTCGCCAGAACTATTTTTAAAATTAGTAAGGAACTCTAGAACTTTTCGGGGTGCATTCAGAACTCTAAAAAAAATTTAGTTTTTTAAAAGATGGGGTGCCAACTTCACAGAGGTTATTAATCAAGTCTGTAAGTAGTTTCAATCGGGCTTATCTTTATTTATGATCGCGATCGATAAGTCTGTTGAAAAAAGTGTTGTCGACAAATGATCCTTTCTCTCTTTTTTAGCTATTTGCTAACACGAGTGTTGACATTGTGACGCGCGATACTTTTTTAATCCAACATAAAACGAACAAAAACTAGAGATAAAAAATAAAATTATTCGCTTCCTTTGTATTCGATTTAGTTTTAGTTTTATATTTAAATTCAGAGTTTATATAGTTCAACATTTTTTTTTTCATATTTTATAGTCTTTTCATTCAATTGTTCAATTCTAATTTATATTTAAATTTGATGATCTTATCGGTAGTTTTTATCGTGTATAATATTCTTGAACGCGAAGAATTTCTTTCGTTACACACTGCACTGTATCGTTGACGAGAGGAAATCTGTCTGTTCCAGAAGTGGAGTGCGAGGTGTCCAGCCAAGTGGAGTACTCGTTGCAGGCGATCTGGGGTGTCAGCATCCGGGAACTGCATCTGGCACTCTGGAAGCCCTGGAACACGTTGCGGGATGCATCCTTGAACGGGACTCTTCTACAGGGCCACGCGCAATATCTCACGGCGCCGCAAACGTATCCTTCCACAATTCCGAATTAACGTTAAATCCCCTTTTCCCCCTCTCCTTCTCTTTTCCCCTTGGACGATGATTCCCATGAGGATCCCCGCAAATTGAGATATGGCCGAGAAATGGTCTTGAAGAAATTACTCGATATGAAAAGATTCGTATGTCCTTCATCGATGTATGACGTCAGAAGCGAGAAGTTGTACGATTTTTTTTCCTTGCGTCGAAATAAATTAATCTTTTTTTTTTTAGCACGTTCGATTATACAATTCGACAAAAAATACCGAAGGTTCCTGTTTTTCGCGGCCACATAAGTCCTGATCCCTCGAACTTGTAAAGAGATGATCCATCTTCGCTGGAATTTCCGGCTTTAAATCGCATACGCGAAAACCGAAGGAAAATAACTCGCGCTATCATTTTTCACTTCCGAGAAGACGTGGCGCGATACGATTGCAGTGAGAAAATCTCAAGCGAATTGATTGATTGCGATCCTAATAATATTTTTTCGACCCCTTTCCTAAAACGGATTCGCTTATTATTTATATTTACATCTTTCTTTCGCCGTTCCTTGACCGAAATTATAGTAGACAGCCACACGGGGAGGAAACGCTGAGATTATCGCTTCCGGCGCCGGAACTGGAGCTCGGCACTCCGCCACGGCTCTGTTACCCATTGGTGATCTTTCTCACCCGGAGAGACAATCGGGATCCCCATCCCGACGAAACGGTGAGCAATTTTATTATCGTCACAATTACGTTCTTGTAAAGAGGAGGTGAAAAAAACTTCTCGACTTCGTTATCTCCCGTTGATCTTTATTTAAGGTGGCACTGGTGAACGTCGTTCACATCAAGGACAGCGTGTGCACGCTACCGACTTCGATTCTAGCGCAGTACTTGAAGCAGGCGAACGGCCAGCTGTCCTGTTTAAAGGTGAGTCGAGACGATCCCTCCATGCAATATATTTCAACTTTGAAGGTTACACAAGTCCCGATATATAGGCTGCTGTAGATGTCGAATCAGAGTATATAGTCGTTTGAAATATCTAAATGTTTTGCACGAAAAAGAAAAAGTTAAGAATGCAGCCTGGAGGGGCAGTCTCCTCCGGTCATTGATACGCCATGTCGTACAATTGGCGCGATTTTCCGCAGCAACTCTATCTGGCCACGGGTAACTCGAGCAACTACGACGAGAGCGATGCGATGTCATCGGCAGGCCTGGGTTCGCCGGCTCTCGCGCTCGCCGAACCGTGCAACAACAACAATAACGGTACCGGTCGCGGCGCCCTAGTGGCGTCCGGCCAAGGTGGCGGCGATCAGGAGAACGGCTCTCTTTGGAACACCGCGGGCGAGCAGCTATGCGTCGTCTGCCAGTACTTCCCGTTGTCGCGCGCCTTGCTACCTTGCCGGCATACCTGCATCTGCGCCTCGTGCTTCGGCAAGCTCGACCGGTGCCCGATGTGTCGCAGCCCGATCAAGAGCTACTTCTGCATACGCAGCGAGGAATATATGCCGCCGGAGAAGGAAATCAACCTCTGCAAGCAGCGCCAGCCGAGCCACGGGCCCACCCATTGGCTTCACGATTGGAACGACCGGCTCACCGATTTCCTCGGCTTCGCTCGATAGAGGATCGCTCTATCTCCAAGGTCGCGTATATCTTGCATACCGAGTGTCAGAATGGTTGAAAAAGTATTTGTTCGATATAGATAATTTCTACAGGTTTTTTTTCTCTCTTCCTCTTTCTTAAATTCAAGATGTAGATAAGTCTCTCTCATGGATCGGTAAAACATTAAATACGTTCTGGATACGTTTTATGTAGAGGAATGGAAGAGAGTATTATTAAATTTCTATCTTCTTTTCCAAGTTAAATTATAGAGGTTAAAAATTTTTCAAGATATATAAAAATAAAATAAATAATAAATCTATTTTCTCCTGAGAACATAAAAACAAAATCGCAATTTTTCAACCTTTAATTCTTGTTTCAGTTCTTATCATTTAAACATTAAAAATTCCATTTCGCCTCAAATCTTTATCCGTTTGATTCGAAGAAGTTACATTTCATTTAACAAAGAATTTTAATAGCTGTTATTATTCAAAATTTTAATGTTGAAATACATTTATGTAGGATTGATCTATAAAACAGGAAACGTCAACCATACTGACACGTGACTGTAGTATGATTTATCATTCGATTCTAAATAAGGTGCGGAAGTTCATGAGAATTTACATATACACGTGAGAAAGACACTAAAGTGATTGGGTTATCTATTTGGTGTCGCACGGCATTGCAAATAGTTTTCATGCATACAGGGTGTCAACGAATCACCGCTTTTTCAACCGCAGCTTTTTCGGTCACTTTAAAAACAAAGATTTTTTTCATGTTCTTTTTTATTGGAAAAGTGAGGATAGTCATCATTTATCACCTTTCTAATTTTTAATGTTATATATCTTTGAAATTAACAAATATTAAAATTTTATTAAAACAAAATTTATATTTGGAATTATCTGAGAATATTACAGTTCTATATCAAAGATTTTTTTCTTCTAAAGAATTCATTTTGTGTAAATCATCTATCTTCAATCGTTGACTATTAAAAAATTATATACAAGCGATTTACCTGTTTTAAAAAGATTTTTTAAAATATGCTTGCAAGTTTAAGATTATTTTAAAAAATTAGTTTTTTGTCGAGGTTCCCAATTATATCTAATTTTCATTGGTTTTTTTAAAGACACTCCTTGTAAAAAAACGTAAACGTTTCATTTCTTTTATCGAAAGTCAATTATAAATTCAGTTTCGAAACACCCTATATAAACGTAATATCCCCTTCACTGTACTGCTCGCGTCATCGGACCGTGTAGCCTGTCCGAACAAATCTCAGATCATTCAATCGGGAAGGTTGACCATGAAAAACGAACTTTCGCATCCTATTTAAAAGGTAGACACGCGCGATCCAGTTGGATCGTCCTTGCGTATTAAGCTAGACATTTCCGCGGATCGAACGCAATCACGGAACTAGGTATTCATGTAATACAATTAACAGTTAAATATTTAATGTCTATAAAAGATTATTAATAAGTTACGCAATGTATGTCGAGAATTTGCGAAGATGATGTTCGACGTTCGGAAATGCCTAACTATAGATGCGAAGATATGAGCGACGCCGAGTGTACTCAGTCTACGATTGAGAAGTCTATTCAAAGGAGAACTCGAGGAGTTGCCAAAATATCGAAAGAAATGTGACGTTATCATAAATTTTCGTCGAATACGGTATCGGCCTAATAAGAACCAGGCACAAAAAAATTGTCTTTAACATAATAGTTTAATTATACAGATATAATTTGAATGCTTTAGTCATATTTCGGGCAAATAAAATCCTAAAAAAATCGTGCGTTTCGACCTCCGTCTTACATCGATTCCAGCACATTTAGGATGTGCTTCACCAAGCAATGAATTCATTTTAATAGACAAATATTGCGAAAAGATCATATAAATACGCGAGAAATTACAGAAGACGAAGAGCTAAAAAAAATAAGTAACGCAATTGTCAAACAGATTGATTGGAGGAGTTCAAATTCTATTTGTATAGTTAAACTTTTTTGGAGACAATTTTTTGCCCTTTTTCTGTGCCTGGCTCTTAGTAATTTCGATATTGCATTTGATTTATATTTTATTATTAGAGCCATATCTCGTCTTTATAAATTTTCGTTTCTTAAGCAAAATGAGCAAAGTCCTTTTTTTTATTCCATTCGTATGATAGAAGAACTTAGAACAAAGTATCTTAATGTATGTAAAAAGATTGTTAAAAATCATCCGATTAATATAGAGATTTAATTATTAAAAAATGATTCTAATTTTACATTAGAATCATTTTATTTTCTTGAGACGTGTTTAAAAATCGCGATCGTTCTGTCTCTGCGGCGTGTAATTATGCTTTTTCTCAAAATTCACAACGAATGAAATGATGAAAGCGCATTAAGATTACGATATATTATCCAACTTTATTATATCTATAGATAGAGAGATCTCGAAATAGATGATTAAATTTTAGTAGTGTATTTTATTTATCTTGAGGATTTTTAAAAGAAATTATTTTCCGAGTTATACATTTTTTTTCGTTGCGATATAATTTTTTACGTGGCATTGTCGCAACCAAATCTTGAATACGACTTAAGCCGCGATTGAACAATGCCTATACTCGTACTGATTGTGAGAAAAGACGTGCTTGAGGAACACCGTAGACACTGAATATTGTCGGGAAAAAATTTTGAGAATGCAATTGTATTCCCCTAAATGTCTGTGTATATATCACCCAACGTAATCGAAAAATTTTTACTATGTGACATTTTATATATGTAAGTATGTTTAGATGTAAATATACGCGCGCACATACACTATGCTAAGCGAATCTACGTATTCGCCATTAGATTACTCGATTATTTGGTATATATGTACGATTAATATATAAGTTTACCTATCTAGTATAATGCTCGCTCCCGCGAGAAGTGTTTCCTTTGAAAAAAATTCACACGCACGTATAGTTGAAGTATTATAAAAGCCCATTTTCGCAAATTCCACGAATTAAATAGCATATGAATGGCAAGTTTCGTTAATAAAATGCAAGACAGAGTATTTGATCGAGAGAAGGTGAGAGATATTAATTCGCTAGATTAAGAGATCATCATTTTAACATTTAACGCTGTAAATAGACAGACTGTGATAATTCTAACAATGTTTGCGCGAATGCGTCCCGTAAACGGAGAGCTATGAGAAGAGAAAGGAATCGTTTGGGAGAATCTTTCCTCCGGGAAAGAGAGGCCACAGTGGTTTATGGAGGTTGATCGAAGAATATTGAGAGAGTGTGAAGGCCTTTGCAGTCAATTTATCGTAAAAGAAATTTAATATCGAGTTTTAAGCGATGAAAAACGCGGATCTCGAACCGTTCGAAGCACACCTGTATATAATTTATTTAAATAAAGTGTATTGGCTGGCATTTGATATACCTCTCACCTTCATCCTTTCATTATTCTTTACTGTAGCGGACTTTTCAGACGTTTTTGTAGTCAAACTGTGACTGAAATAATTTTATGAGTGATTTCTAATGATAAATTTTTGTATAAATCGAAAATGATGATTATTCTTATTAGAACAATGTAATGTAAACTTTTTGGCTAAAACTAAGTTGATTTTTTCTTCATAAAAATGTTCGAACATTGTAAGTTTCGAGTTATAAAGGAAAAAAAGAACTTTTGAAAATTAAGCTCTGCTTAATCTAAATTTAATCTAATAATTTCTCAATTTTTGAAGAATGTAAAGTTATTAGTTGCTGTTGAAATATTGATATATTTTTTCCAAGACATTTTTTGTCTATTTAAAAAAAAAAATGAAAATTTAACTTCGTTAATTAAGGATATTAAAAATTGGAAATGATAGCAAACGTAAATAAATTATAAAAATATATCAATAAATGAAAAATATGTTATTCATCTGTTTATATATCATTTATTTTTATATCCGGACAATATAAATATTTTCCATTCAATCACTTTTTGCAGGAACTGTACAATCTTAAACGCGTGACAGAGAGCGCCGCGTCAACATCGCGGGAGACTTGTCTTGACTTGCCTTTGTTTCCGCCGAATACATATTCCCGTCATCCATCCTGTCATCGTGTTTACATTTACACTCGCAGGGGACGATGTCCTTCACTGCTGCGAGCCGCGCGTTTCACGCAAATGTTTATTTTACTCGACTCGTCAGCCGTTGAGATCGGGACGCCGAAAGGTCGCGATATCCTTAATAAAGGATCGTAATCTTCGCAGAGGATCTAATCGTCGCAGACTTAACCTTGTATGTCGCTGATCATCACGCGACATCCCGATCGTTGGAAACGCGCGTCTGCTTCCCCGAAAAAGAGGATATCGAGATAATCGTCATAATCAGTTAAATTTGTTTATCCAACGGATCGACTTTAAGGTTACCCTTCTCCCGCAAATTAATTCCCGATCTCGAGGATTACGAAACGTTTACGAGAATACCGTAGACATGGCCGGCAATAGCGAGCTTTGGGTGCAATGTTTCACGTGCTGCCTGACACCACAGGCGACGAGGAACACCGGCAGACGGAACAACGGCAGGCCGCATCAGAGGCTCAGGATAGACCGGAGCATGATCGGCGTGCCCACAAACTTCCGGCACACGGCGCACATCAGCAGCGGCGACATTGACATGTCGATTGCCCAGCTGGCCGATCTCCAGGCGCAGATGCAGAGGAAAGGTGGCTACAACGGCGATTTCGGCGCCAAGGTACATTTCAACTTTTCTTTGTTAAGTCATCCTTAATTTCTTTCCAGCCCAAAGTTCCTTCTCTAAAGTCACGTTCCTGTGAATCCTGTTTTTTTCCTGTCATGGGAAACAATGTGTCCTCTATATCGTATCATTACGTTATAAAGACTTTATCGGATACAAAACGCTTGTTCTTTCTGTTACAGGCCTGCTGAGAGGTGTTACTAATGTCACAAATGCAGCGGGGAATATTTAATACGATAGACAGAGAGTGAGAGACATTTATGGCATGCAATTATGGCGAAACAACGACTGATCTTTTAATATCCATGTTCCTTACTCGTCAAATAGACGAGTGCATTTCTTTCGTACGCACAAAATTGCATTTGTACTATAATTCGCTTAGAGGATTAAGACAAATCTATATACATCTGACAAATCTTTGACTTCCACATTTTGAATATACAAATGTCAGAAAAAATTATTCGTATTACAGGTAATTATTTATACGTTTTTATATCTATATGGAATGTATTTAAAAGCTTCAAATATTTCATAAATTGTGCCTTTCTCAGCGATCTGACCCTTAATGTAGAGAAAATATGTTATTACAAGAATGTATAGAGATCGTTTTTATTTGTAAGATTACTCGTAAAATTTATTAAAAGAATAATTCTTTTTTCAATAATTCTTTTTATTATTTTTTCTGTACATGCGAATAGAGATTATACAAGAGAAAAGAAACATATTTTATGTATATTTATGTTTGATTATATATGTATATATGTATATGAATTTTTCTTCCTGAATTATCTTTGATAAACACGTGTTTATTGCTTAAAGTATCTATCGATGTTTTCGGTTTCTCAAAGATAAAAGACTAGGGTACATTTTCTACGAAGATATTAAGACACAAATAATATATGGCCATACAATTGTGAAATATTATCCAAAGGGGTTTTGTCTATTTAAAAAAAAATTGAAAATTTAACTTCGTTAATTAAGGATATTAAAAATTGGAAATGATAGCAAACGTAAATAAATTATAAAAATATATCAATAAATGAAAAATATGTTATTCATCTGTTTATATATCATTTATTTTTATATCCGGACAATATAAATATTTTCCATTCAATCACTTTTTGCAGGAACTGTACAATCTTAAACGCGTGACAGAGAGCGCCGCGTCAACATCGCGGGAGACTTGTCTTGACTTGCCTTTGTTTCCGCCGAATACATATTCCCGTCATCCATCCTGTCATCGTGTTTACATTTACACTCGCAGGGGACGATGTCCTTCACTGCTGCGAGCCGCGCGTTTCACGCAAATGTTTATTTTACTCGACTCGTCAGCCGTTGAGATCGGGACGCCGAAAGGTCGCGATATCCTTAATAAAGGATCGTAATCTTCGCAGAGGATCTAATCGTCGCAGACTTAACCTTGTATGTCGCTGATCATCACGCGACATCCCGATCGTTGGAAACGCGCGTCTGCTTCCCCGAAAAAGAGGATATCGAGATAATCGTCATAATCAGTTAAATTTGTTTATCCAACGGATCGACTTTAAGGTTACCCTTCTCCCGCAAATTAATTCCCGATCTCGAGGATTACGAAACGTTTACGAGAATACCGTAGACATGGCCGGCAATAGCGAGCTTTGGGTGCAATGTTTCACGTGCTGCCTGACACCACAGGCGACGAGGAACACCGGCAGACGGAACAACGGCAGGCCGCATCAGAGGCTCAGGATAGACCGGAGCATGATCGGCGTGCCCACAAACTTCCGGCACACGGCGCACATCAGCAGCGGCGACATTGACATGTCGATTGCCCAGCTGGCCGATCTCCAGGCGCAGATGCAGAGGAAAGGTGGCTACAACGGCGATTTCGGCGCCAAGGTACATTTCAACTTTTCTTTGTTAAGTCATCCTTAATTTCTTTCCAGCCCAAAGTTCCTTCTCTAAAGTCACGTTCCTGTGAATCCTGTTTTTTTCCTGTCATGGGAAACAATGTGTCCTCTATATCGTATCATTACGTTATAAAGACTTTATCGGATACAAAACGCTTGTTCTTTCTGTTACAGGCCTGCTGAGAGGTGTTACTAATGTCACAAATGCAGCGGGGAATATTTAATACGATAGACAGAGAGTGAGAGACATTTATGGCATGCAATTATGGCGAAACAACGACTGATCTTTTAATATCCATGTTCCTTACTCGTCAAATAGACGAGTGCATTTCTTTCGTACGCACAAAATTGCATTTGTACTATAATTCGCTTAGAGGATTAAGACAAATCTATATACATCTGACAAATCTTTGACTTCCACATTTTGAATATACAAATGTCAGAAAAAATTATTCGTATTACAGGTAATTATTTATACGTTTTTATATCTATATGGAATGTATTTAAAAGCTTCAAATATTTCATAAATTGTGCCTTTCTCAGCGATCTGACCCTTAATGTAGAGAAAATATGTTATTACAAGAATGTATAGAGATCGTTTTTATTTGTAAGATTACTCGTAAAATTTATAAAATACGACATTATTTTGTGTAACTAATGTATAAGTAATCACATATCACAAAATATCACACATACATAAATATAATTCTGCATTTCACATTTCTTATTTTATCATCGAATAACGTTCGCATTTAAGAATATAGAAGAGTATTTGCGATATTTATATAAAAACTGCATCTCTTGTAGAATAGAGACTCGTAGAATAGACACCTCTGCCTCTGTTAATTAACATCACCGATTACATTCTCGGAAGTCTTGGGTAATGCAACGATTCTCTCGATGTGTCATGACTTTCTCGAAACACGCTCTTCGATACATATTTTAAAATGCATGATTTTTTATTAGTAAAAAAAAAAAAAGAAAAGAAACGTCGTGTAAAATACGCTTCAATCACGTTGTGATTTCTTGCTCTGACTACTATCGTCATTGTCTCCATCGCGTTTTCGATACAGTCGCGGTGGTTTGATTGAAGGAACGCAGATCTAATCCCAGCCCTAGCCTGACAGTGGGATCGCCGATGAACTTGACATGACAGCAACAGCTCGACGGGAAGCGGAATTGATCCTTGACGATGTTACCGCTGCTCCCCACTGCCGCCAATTCTCGGTAGATGTATTTCTGCTTGCAGCTGGTCTTGTAACCCTCAGCGAATCCCTGGATCATGTTGCACTCCTGACCATCGTTCCTGCGAAATCGGAGACTCGTTACGGATACGCCGGATTATCCATGTGCTATTTTACTTAATTTCTCTTCGAATGGAATCGCAACGCCTACAAGCAAACCTCGATGCGTATTCCTTGCTTCAAGTTGTCCTGATTCACGATGAACAACCACTGTTTCTCCTTGTTTTGCGCGGTCTGCGGGTACACCACTTGTTCCTGTGAACCGAAACTTTGCGATTAAATGTTATTCAAATATCTAATGAATAATTCCGATACTTATTACAATAACATGAGAAGAGGAAAATCGGAGAAATTTAAGGGCATACAGTACAAATGAAAATATTCAATTACATATAAAATACAATCAATCAACTTTGATCGGTAATATTCATGTATATTTTACACATTGTATTTTTGGAGTTTTGCATTTTTATGATGATAATTCTATTTATTCTCATCTTGAAATGCGCATATAAAAATCTAACTTGAAATGGACACTCGATTTTACTGAAATCTCGGTTTGATTTGCGGATCTAATTTAATTGCCAACATCTCTTTAATTTTTTTTTTAGATACTATATGCTCCTAAATTCTTCGATCTTTTTTTGTTAGATTTTTGTGGACGAAAGTAGTATCACTTACGCTATATCGGCAAAGGGGCACTTCGTCTGTCGTGTCTATTCTTTGTTCAATGTCGGGCATCTGAAAAATTAAAACCGATATAATCTCACGTTTGAATCTCGATGTTGGAGTCACGCGAAAACAATCGTTATCTGTGAGTATGATCTAATTAAACACAATATGTTGTCCTTCATACAGACTCACCGAGGTTGTTCTCGGTGGAAAAATATTTTTATATTTCTTTTTTCGCAAGCCTCAAACATCGAAGATAATTATATTTGTTTCGTTGTTCTCAATCTTTACATAACACACACACACACACACACACACACACATACACACTTAAAAATTAAATTATTAACCGGATCGATGCTTTCCAGGAACCTGAGACTGGCGTTTCGTGCTATCGCTGCGTTCACCAGTTGCCTGGGGTAATCGGCGACGTTTTCACAGAATATACTCTTGTGACAGCCCGACGCCGGCGCCGGTGTCGACGTGACTCTGCCGTCTGTCGGGAAAATGATCTTCTCATCTACATCCATCTGCATCGACGCGTCCGTGCTCGCCACTGCAAAAGAACAATATATTTTAATGATTATGGATACGAAAGTAAGCGCAATTTTCATTTGCATACATTGTTACATAGAAGGAGAAACAGGACTTAGAAAAAAAATTTCATAAACCGGCAGTAAAAGTTTTTACTCTCTTCAGATTAATTATTGGACGAGAATCACCGGAAAAAGGGCGTATCAATCATTTCGACGCCGATCACGCGCAACGACGAAAAGTACCTTCCAATCTCCTCTCTCCAGGCGTAGAGATCCCGTCGTTCAAATACTCCGATTGTCTCGAGGTATCCCGATCCAACGATCTGGTCACCAGGTGATCCTTGGTCTGCTGCGGCCATTGTTCCGGTCGCAGTAATTCCAGTCTATCAAACGCCTCCTCGATCAACTTCGAGATCGAGGTCTCTTGCGTCCAGGGATTTCTGGTGTTCTGCGACGTCTTCGTCAAAGCGCGAGGGTGACCTTCGACTCGTCGCGCCGTCTGATATATCTGAGCGGGAAAGGAAAAATATAGAAACTATCGGGAACGGGAGTTAATTAGATTCGCTCACATGCGCGAGTGATTTTCCTTCTTTAAAAATAAGTCACTTTCCGAGAGTTCCGGTCGCAGTAATTCCAGTCTATCAAACGCCTCCTCGATCAACTTCGAGATCGAGGTCTCTTGCGTCCAGGGATTTCTGGTGTTCTGCGACGTCTTCGTCAAAGCGCGAGGGTGACCTTCGACTCGTCGCGCCGTCTGATATATCTGAGCGGGAAAGGAAAAATATAGAAACTATCGGGAACGCGGGAGTTAATTAGATTCGCTCTCATGCGCGAGTGATTTTCCTTCTTTAAAAATAAGTCACTTTCCGAGAAGCTAGCGACGCGGATGAGAGATCGGTGCTATCGCGAATAAGTTTGAACGGCTCTCGCCACGTTTGTGTGAGAGGACGGACGAGCGATAAGAGAGGGAGATAAATCATTTTATTTTTATACACACCGAGTTGGCCAAGTCCTGTTGCAAGCGAATGCAATTATATAACGCGATGGAATTACTACGGCGAGTAAACACGTGTATGTGAGATAAATAGTTTTTTAGAATGTTCTACGTTCTTCATAAGGCTGCTATAAGAATCGAGACCATTAAAATTATAAATACGTTATATACCTCAAGCAGGCGACAGATTCTATCAAAATCCTAAAATTCGTACATTCTATTTATTTACTCTTTATACACACGTGATTGCGAGATTCGCGGCCAAAATTGTATTATTATAATTGTAATTGTATATATATATTTTTGGCCGGCAAACTCATCGGTAAAAGGCGCGCAACATAGTTTTACGATGTACGTGCATGGACGGGATATCTCACGTGGTATAATTTAGATTTGCGCTTCCTCACGGCAACGAAGCGAGTCGCAAAATTACGCGTCCGTCGCGATTTCTTGGTATTCCTGTCATCGTTTTATTAGTTGCTCTTTTTCTCTTTTTCCTCCAGCTGGCGCTTGTATTACCGCGCGCTCGGCACTTCCGAAGAGTGATGTTTCAATAATTAGCAGCGCACGAGAAACCTTTACGACCGGTATAAAAGGATTAATATAAAATAAGTTAAAAAGAAAGTAAGATGTACAAGAAAATGTATAAAAACGTGAGATGAGGAGAGAGAGAGAGAGAGAGAGAAAGAAGAATCCACAATAGAAACAAACACAAGAAAGAATTTTCGAAACATAAACGACTGTGCTAAATACACGGCTACTTCCAGCATCTTTCCCGGGAAAAAAGGGGGAGGGTAATGCGATTCTATCGTATACATATTCTTTATCAGCGACTTGTCACGGACGAGTTTATGCATCTTCCTCTCGGACACAACAGAATCTAAACGAGCGTATAAACTATGTGTTTCAGGTATTCGACGATTTACGAGTTAAAAAAGAAAATTAGGAAACGTGATACACACAAATGTAAAAGATCGACGAACTAATCCCTGAGAATGCGGATTTGTATGCGTTTATCCAAAGCCTTTGCTAAAGGATCGATCGACAGTTTAAACATTCAAAAACGAATCCTCACCAGGACGAGCGCCAGATACATCCTCCACCTCGTCCAAGGAACACTCAATGTCATTTCAGCGCGATCTCTTGCAAAAGGTAGATTGGTAAATTTCCACAAATCACGATCCGCTCAGCGAGACGATCGACGCGCGAACGTTCGCGTTCCACTGATCGATCCGTCCACGCAATTCCGACAATTTGAAGTACGCCTTCGCCGCGGATAGATGCACAAGAGAGAGAGAGAGAGAGAGAGAAAATCTTGCTTCCGGCACGACGGATCGACGGAGTAAGGAGTGAGGGGTCTGCTGACCGTGATGCGGGCATATATGGGCTTGAATATTCCATTCTTTCCACGCGGTTCCTCCTCCATCCCCCCTCTCTCGTCCATAAACGACGCATAGGGGATCCCCTGCGTGCGTGGGAGGGTAAGCATATGCTGTAAAATGTCAGTGAGATTTAATTCTTTATTTTTATCGTTTCTTTGTTTCATCGAAAAGCTTGATACTTGATCATCCAAGTTTCACTTGAGAAGCGTGGAAGGAAAGAATGCAGAACTGAAACAAACAGGTCTAAAAAAGCGATCCGGGTCGGCTAGCGGGATCGAAGCTCACGCTCGCGCTACTTTTGTGTTTATAAACATGTCGGATATAAGAGATGCGTTATCAGCGTTGTGCAAGTATATCAATTCGTTAATAAACGTAGGACTGACACCCGAACATTTGAGACTGGCCAAATCTAATGCTCCGGACGAGGATGTTGTAAGTGTGTGGATCAGATATCAGATTCGAGTAGTCTACCTAACCTAATCTAACCTAACTTGTTTGACAAATGTGTCACGCACATGTGTTTTGTGACAGGCCGAGGCGCTGCGAAACACGCTGCATATTCTGACAATGAGCTATCACGCAGCGAGAAAAAAGCGAGGCGACATAGATTTCCGAAATCACGGTTTGTTTCAATCGATTTGGAAAGAAAAACCTGTTCTTCTTAAGGGAAGCATATAGCGAATCGAAAAATAGGGACTACTTTTTATTTCAACGTCGTGAAAATTTCTATCTAAATAAATAATATATACTGTTTTTTTAAGTGAAACTATATTTCATGAAATATATTTTCAATGATCAAGAAAAATTGCAAAGATATTGAAACTAACGAACAATAATAATGGCCTTCTAAATAATCGTGCGCGACTGATAATAAAAAGTAGACATTTTTTTTATTTTTATACAAGTGTAAAAATAAAACTTTACACAAACTTTATGTTCATTTGTCTATTTGTTCAAATAAAAATTTTACACGTTAAAAAGCATGCTGTTTTTTTTAAATTTGTATAATAAAAAAATATAGGTATGAGAAGGAGGTTACATAAAACGATATAATAAAAATAATAAATAGGACAAGATTAAGATTGCATAACGAGAATATAAAAAAGAGTGTGAAAAGGTGTATGCTGCATAAAGGAAAACACTATAGAAATATATGAGGAAGGACAAATAAACAAATGTGATATCAGCAAACTTTTGAAATGTAGCGAACGTTACTGTTTCGGATCCATTTAATCGCCTTTTACGGGAACGATTTTATATTGTATTCTAAATTACCTTGTGCGTCCATTGTATTTCTAGATACGCTGACGGCGGTGAAGTTGCACCTCGCGTTCTTGCAGTATCCAGCGATAGAATTTTACAGTCTATCGCGGAGTAGGAGCGATCGCAACAGGGACTTATTGATAGCTTTAGCTTGGCTGCTGGGAACGCAGAACGTCCTGACCGACATCCTCCGAGCAAAGCTAGCCGGTAGCGTGCTGGGCGCCGAATGTTCACGCGTGGATCTGCCGGAAGTTAATACGGAAATTTCTCGTACACGAATCGTACGATCGGACGATCAGCTGACAAACACTTTACTTGACGGTATTTTGCATCTGAACGCCAGGGTGAATCTGAATCTGCGGGAAGTCGACGAATTGACGCGCGAACGAGGGAACTTGGTGTCCAAGGTACACGCGGCGAGTATCGACGTGAGCGGTCTGCCGCATTTGAGCGTGTGTGAATCGGCGTTGACGAAACGCCTCGCGACGACGAGCAACGTTAACGAAAGTTCTGATGACGAAGTTCGACGGCTGGAATTCCGTGACGCCGGAATTTTGCTGGACACGCGCGCCAAGTGGCTGCGGAAGCGACACGCGTTCTTCGACTGGATGGTGAGTCGCAAGCTGCTTGCATCGGATTCTCTCGACTTTTTCTTCAATCTGCAAAAAGGAGAGCTCCCTTCTCATTATTAACAGAAATATTTCTGGCAACAAAATGACGATGCGTATTACAGGTTACGGTGATTCAGGAGCACAAAAAATCCGCAAAAATGAATCTGAGAGAGATCGATTCGCAGGAACTCGCCGTTTTTAGCTCATTGTTGCATCAAGTGATTAGCGAGAAGCTTCGAGATCTTACATCCGCGACAGCGGTGGGCAGCGAGTCCCGAAACAAGGCCTTGGACTGCCCGTCTCGCGTGCACAGAAGTCAATGTAATGATATCGAGGCGCAAAACTGGTTGGATCATTTGAACGAGCGCCAGAAGCGCGAGGAAGAAGATCTTCAACGGAATAGGAAATGGCTAGCCGACGAGTTAGAAAGAATGCTGAAGCTGATACCATCCACCATTCGCGTCTAATCGAGGTATTATTATTTTTCTCTCCTATTAAAAATGTATACATATACATTTAAAAGAAGATTTATTACTTATTACTACGCAGTATAAAAATTTTATAAATTATTATCATTTAAAATTAAAAAAAATGTCGTTTGTTAAATTATCCACGCGAATAAATCGTTTACGTATTTAATGAGTTATATAAATAAATGTATGTAATTTATAATGAGCTGTAAGTAATGTGTGCAAAATGATTTAACGTGGCACGCTAAAATATTTTTCGTTTTTGACATTATTAGTAATTCGATATTGCTGCAATAGAAAAATCTCAATTTGCAATTATTGTACCAGATAATTAATACGTAGTAAATAAATACCAATAGACAAAAAAAATTTAATATTCTGTGTAAATTTGCATTTCAAATTAAACTTTTGCTCATATCTCGTTAAAAAACAACACACATATAACGTATTTAATATTAAATGTAACGCGTACGCATTTTATATATGGTGATAGCGTATCGTCGATAAAGAGAGCAGTAAAAGTAAAAGATAGAGAAGGGAAGGACTGGCTATGTCGAGACGACGTTTATCTGGTCGACGACGCCAAACGACGAAATAAAGACATTGAATATCGTGACGAGGAAAATACCGACGACCGTCCAATTGTTGGCCTTATTGGCTTTGCACATCTGCTCGTGCTCCTTAACGTTGTAGACGCTATTCCAGATGAGGCCGATACCTACGGCAATCTGCAGCAACAGGCTCATGCCGATCATGGTGAGCGACGGGTAAAAGTAAGGATGCCGGCCGTCTGTTTGGAGAACGTAGCGCATCTGATTCGCGTTGGCAGAGAGTAACGCCAGGTCCATCATACCCTGGGCGAGAGTCTTCTTGTGCTGATAGACGTTTACATCAGGAGTGGAGAGCTGTATGTTCGGCGGGACGGACCAGCCCGGTGATAAAGGTTCCAGTCCGTTTCTACCGTCGAAGCCAATCACTGGCTTATCGTTCCCGTCAAAATCGATCGCTGTTCTGGAGATCGAAGGCCTTCGTGTTGTATCTCGCGGATTGTTCGCGAGATCTTCAGTCTCGGCGGTAAAACCAGCGCGCGAAAACACGGACGGAATTGCCTCCGTATTGTTGGACGTCAACGGTCTCGCCGACTCATCGTGCATTTCGTCCAGATACATTATCTCGTCACCGTCAGTCTTCGTTTTGCTGTCTATATACATATATATATAATATATAGAAAAAAAATATATATTATATATAATCACTTTGTTTCTTTACAGCTACACGGAACTTCCTAAAGTTGTGTAAGCTCAAATACTACAATTGGAACCTTTTTCACTCGGTGCAGACCAATTTTATTGCGCAAACTGGAGATCCTACTGGTACCGGGAAAGGCGGAGAGAGCGTGTATGGAATTGTATTAGGCGAAAAGGCTCGTTATTACGAAGCCGAACATATGCCGAAGATCAAGCATAACAGGATAGGTTTGTTATCTATGGTAAATTGTGGCAACAATATGCTGGGTTCCCAGTTCTTCATTACGCTAGGATCGGAGCTCCAGTCTCTAGACAACGAGCATTGCGTGTTTGGAGAGATCACGGAAGGATTGGAGATTATTCTCAAGTTTAACGAGGCCATCTGTGACGGGGATCAAAGGCCTTATCAGGACATAAGAATATCTCACACTGTCATCTTGGAGGATCCTTTCGATGATCCTGTGGGACTCGTGGTTCCCGACAGAAGCCCAGAGCCGACAAAAGAAGCTCTAATGGTATATCACATTTCAGAAATGACAAGCTTTTGTCGCATTCTTATCAATTCTCATTAATAATGCCTGCTTTATTTACATTTGTTTTACATAATTAAGATGCCAGACAGATAAGCTTCTCTGTATCTCTAGTTGTTTATATATAATTTTATTTATTCTGGATAAGTTTCGACAGTTTTATTATTTTAAAAAATGTGTTTTTGTCATTTCTTGTTATTAATATTTTTGTATGTTTATCTCATTTATATTTGTAGAGCGATAGAATCGGAGCGGATGAAGCGATCGACGATATGAGCGGTATGACTATGGAAGAAATGACAGAAATTCAGAAGGTCAAGGAAGCTAAAGCAAGGGCCACGATATTAGAGATCGTGGGCGATATACCGGATGCAGACATTGCCCCGCCGGAGAACGTTCTGTTTGTATGTAAATTAAATCCCGTCACGACCGATGACGATCTCGAAATTATCTTCAGTCGTTTTGGCAAGATTGTCGGGTATGTCTCATTTACATAATTGTCTATTACAAATCGTTATATCTTTCATATTGTGAATTAATTATTATAATTTGTTGACTTTTTTACACATAGTTGCGAAGTTATAAGAGACCACCATACGGGAGACTCCTTGCAGTACGCATTCATCGAGTTCGGTGATCGCAAGAGCTGTGAAGACGCGTATTTCAAAATGGACAATGTCCTGATCGACGATCGAAGGATACACGTGGATTTTTCGCAATCGGTTGCCAAGATGCGCTGGCGAGGCAAAGGTAAAGGTATTCGATACTTTGACGAAGATGACAAGATGAAAAAACGCGACGAGAACTATTTATCTTCGAAAAAACCCGAGATATCGCGTGAGAGGAATCATGATAACGGTAAAAATAGAGAAGACGGAAGGAGAAAGGAGAGCTCGCACAAGGATCACAGAAAGCAGGAGCGCAGGAAAGAAGATAAAGATAGGAGAAAGGAAGACAGATCGCACGATAGATACGAGAATGAACGAAGGGATAGAAGAAGGAAAGAAGAACGACGGGATAGGGACAAGGAGGATCGGAAAAGAGGTCACAGCGAAGACAGATCGGAGAGAAGAAATAAGAGAGATGAAAGCAACGATTGGAGAAAAGACCATAGCGAAGAGAGATCGGAAAGAAGGAATAAAAGGGATGAGTATAGCGATAGGGAGCGTCGGTATCGTGATAGCGAGAGAAAAAGGACCACGGAAGAAGAGGACGATACTAGGTACAGATCGCATAAGAACAAAAGAAAATGGTGAAGGAGAACGAGATGATGTTGAAGAAGTTTTAAGAACTTAATACACCTAAAAAATAAAAAAAAAAGATATATTTCGTTATTTTGAATAATGCGAAAATGTCGGTATCGAGATAATTTGAATTCAGTTAGAGGAGAACTTAAATAAGCATCATTCGATGTGTG